CCTCCTCTCTTGTGGCTCGTCTGAGCTGAATCGCTTTGTTTGCTGATGGGGGCTGACTGGGAATCGCGCTTCGTATCTGTGGGACGTGACTGAGGGAATTCGCTCTTGTTTGTGAGCTGACGTAGGAATCAGCGGCTGCGCTTTGTGGGGCCTGGCTGCGGAATCGGCCTGTGATTTGTGGGGGGGCTTGCTCCTCGATACACCTGGAATCGACCTTGTTTGTGGGCTGACTGGGAATCCCCTTGTTATGTCGGGCCTGACCTGGGCAATCGCGACTCTGTGTGGTGTGAGCGCTTGACCGTGGGAATCGCCTTGATTGTGGTGAGTCGGCTGACTGGGAATCGCCTTGTGGGTAGGGGGGCTGCCTGGGGGAATGTCGCTTTGGATTGGTGGTGCTGACTTGGGGAGTTGGCCTTCGGGTTATGTAGTAGGCTGACCCTGGGAATCCGCTCTTGTTTATGTCGGCTGACCCTGGGAAGTGCGGCCTGTGTAATTGTATGGGGCTGACTGACGGAATCGCGCCTGGTTTGGTGGGACATGGGACTGGGAATGCGCCTTGTTTGTGGGCTGACCCTGTTTAATCGCCTTGTTGTGGGCTGGACCCTGGGAATCGCCTTGTTGGTGGGGTCTGACGTGGGATCGCCATTGTTTGTGGGTGCTGACATGGAAATTCCGCCTTGTTTGTGGGGTGACCTAGGGAATCGGCCTTGAGTTTGGTGGGCGGACGTCGGAAATCTGCCTATGTTTGTGACGGAGCTGAATGGTGAATCGCCTTGTTTGTGAGGACTGACTAGGAATCCGCTCTTGTTTGTGGGCTGACTGTGGAATCGCCTTTTGTTTGTTGGGCCTGGACATGGGTAATCGCCTTTGTTTGTGGCGCTGACTGGGAATCGCCTTGTTGTGGGCTGACCTGGGAAATCGCCTTTTGTTTTGTGTGGCTGACTGGGAATCGGCCTTGTTTGTGGGGCTGTGGACTGCGAATGCGCCATATGTTTGTGGTGACCTGGTGTAATTGCGCCTTTGTTTTGTGGCGTGGACCCTGGGAAGAATCGCCGGGCTGTTCTGTGAAGATGAGATAATCGCCGTTGATTGTGAGGGCGTGAACTTGGCCGAAATGCGATGAACCATAACTTGGTTGTGGTCGGCTGACCTGGGAAATCGCCTTGTTTTGTGGGGCTGAACTTGGGAATGCGCCCTTGTTTGTGGGTGACTGGGAATCGCCTTGTTTGTGGGCTGAGCATGAGAGGGAATAATCCGGCACTTGTTATGGGGCTGAACTGGGAATCGCCTTTTGTGTGGGCTCGACTGGGAATCGCTCATCTGTTTGTGGGCGACCTGGGAATCGCCTTTGGTTGTGGCTGACCGGGAATTCGCCTTGGAGGTATTGTGGAAGACTATGACTTGGAATGAAATCGCCTTCGTTTGTGGGCCTGACCTAGAGGGAACCGGCCTGTGTGCATATGTTGGGCTGACTCTGGTGAATTTCGCCTTGTTTTGATGGGACCTGACTGGGAATCCCGTGGGTTTTGTGCTGAGTGAGGAAATCGCACGTTGGTGGTGTGTGTGGGCTGACTTGGGAATCGCGCTTGTTTGGAGCTGACTGGGAAATCGCCTTGTTGTGGCGCTGACCTCGGGAATCGCCTTGTTTGTTCGGGCTGACCTGGAATTCGCCCATCTGTATTTGAGTGGGCTGACTGGGGAATCGCGAGCGCTTGGTATGATGAGGGAAGATCTTGATATCTTGGCGAATCCGCTCCTCTCGTTAGTAGTTGTGGGACGCTGAATCATAGGAATCGCGACTCTGTTCTGCTGGCTGAGCTGGAGGGAAGTCGCCTTGTGTTTGTGGGGAGAGGCGTGGTTGAGCTGAGGCGAATCGCCTTGGTTTGTGGAGAGAGAGAAAGACGCGTGACGGTGGGCGAGAGTCGCGATGGTGTGTGGGATAGGGCGGCTTGACCTTCGGGAAGAGTCAGCCTTGTTTGTGGGGCTGACTTGGGAAATCGCCCTTGTTTGATGGGCCTGACTTGGGAAATCGCCGCTTATGTTTCTGTTGTGGCCTGGACTGGGGAAATGCAGGGCGCTTAGAGTAGTGTGTGAGTGGGAGCCTGACTGATGGAGAGAGTCGAGGACGACTGTGTTTGTGGGCTGACTGGGAATCAGCCTTGTGTGGGCTGTACTGTGGCGAATCGTGACCTTTGCTTGTGGGCTGATGACTTGGGAGTACGCCTTGTTAGGAGTGCACACGTAGAGAGAGACCTGGACAGATATATGCAGGCACTGTGATGATTTGTTGGTGGCTTGACGCTGGTGAATCGCTTGATTTTGGTTGCTGGACTGGGAATCGCACTGTGTTTGTGGGCTGGAACTGGGAAATCGCCTCCATTGATTGTTTGGGCTGACTTGGGAATCGCCTTGTTTGGTAGGTGCTGAACTTGGGGACTCGGCGCTTGTTTGTGGGCTTGACTTGGGAATCCGCTCTTGTTTGTGCGGCTGACTTGGGGAATCGCCTTGTTTGTTGGGCTGACTTGGAGAATCGCCTTGTTTGTGGGGCTGAACTGGGAATCGCCTTTCTGTGGGGACTGACTGTGAATCGCCTTGTTTGTGGCTGGACCTGGGAATACGCCTGTTAGTTTGTGAGGCTGACGTAGGAAATCGACGCTAGTGGATTTGTGGGCTGACCTGGGAATCGCGACTTGTTTGTGGCTGACAGGGAATCTGCCGACGATAGTTTGTGGGGACTGACTGGAGAGTCGCACTTGAGTTTGTGAGCTGACTGGAATCGCGCTTGTTTGTGGGCTGACCTTGGGAATCGCCCTGTGATTGTGGGGCTGACCTGGGAATACGCCTGTGTTTGATGGACTGACTGGAAATCGCCTTGTTTGTTGGGCTGACTGGGAATCGCCTTGGTTTGTGGGTGAGGACTGACTGGGAATCGCCTTGTTTTGGGCTGCATGGGAAGTGCGCCTTTGATTGGGGCTGACTGGGAATGCAGACGACTGATAGTTTTCTGGGTGACCTGGGAAGCCGCACTTGTTTGTGGGCTGATACTGGAATCGCCTTGTTGTTGGGCTGACCTGGAACCGCCTGTGATTTGTGGGGACTGACTGGGAATCGCCTTGTTTGTGGAGGACTGACTGAAAAAATCGCCTTGTTGTGGGCTGGGACTGGGAATCGCCCTTGTTTGGTGGGCTGACCTGGGAAGTTACGCACTTTGTTTGTGGTGCTGACCTGGAAATCGCCTTGTTTGTGGAGTTTCTTGAACTGAGGAATTCGCGTGTGTTTGTGGGCTGAACTGGGAATCGCCTTGTATTGTGGGGCTGACTGGGAGGTAATCGCCTTGTTTAATGTGGCTGACCTGGGAACCGCCTTGTGTTTGGGCTGACTGGATACGCCTTGTCTTAGTGGCTGAACCTTGGGAGACCGCCTTGTTTGTGGGCTGAGGACTGGAGGGAATCGCGACTTGTGTTGTGGGTTGAGCTGGGAATCGGCCTATGTTTCCTCGCTGGAGGGATGACTGGTGAGAATTCGCCTGTTTGTGGGCGTGGTCTGAGGAAATCGCCTTGTTGTGTGGGCTGATCTGGGTAATCGCTCTTGTTGATTGTGGTGTTGACTGGGAATCGCCTTGTTTTGTGGGCTGATAGGAGATCAGGACGACTTGATTTGTGGGCTGACCTGGGAATCGCCTTGGTTTGTGATGGGCTGAAACCTGGAATCGCCTTGTTTGTGGGGCTGACTGTGGAATCGCGCTTGTTTGTGGGCTGACCTGGAATCGCCTTGTTTGTTGGGGGCTGATGGGAATCGCCTTGTTTGTGGGCTGACTGGGAATTCGCCTTGTTAGTGGGGCTTGACCTGGAAATCGCACCTGTGTTGTGAGTGGGCTGACCTGGGATGCGCCTTGTGTTGTGGCGCTGACCTGGATGCCTTGTATTGTGAGGGGCTAGACCTGGGGAAATAGCCTTGTTGTGGGCGGACTGACTGGGGAATGCGCATCTTTGTTTGTGGGCTGACCTGGCGAATCGCCCTTGTTTGTGGGCTGGACTGAGTGAAGACCGCGCCTTATAATAGGAATGTTTGCTGAGGGGCTGAACTGGGAGATCGAGCGACTTCGTTGATCGGCTTGCTGGGAACGCCTTGTTGGGGACTGACTGTTGGAAGAATCGCCTTAGTGTGTGTGGCCTGAGCTGGGAATATCGGCACGTATGATGATTGTGTGGCACTGATCTGGAATACGCCTTGTTGTGGAGGCTGATGGGAATCGCCTATGTTGAAGTGTGGGGCTAGACCTGGGAACGGGCGTTGTTTGATGGGGCTGAGACTGGGGAATCGCCTTGTGTGGCATGAACTGGATCGCCGTTGATTTGTGGGCTGGACTGGGAAGGAAGTCGACCTTGTTTGTGGGACTGACTGAGAATCGGCCTTGGTTTGTGGGCCTGACGCATGAGAAGATCGCACGCCTTGGTATTGTTGAGGAGAGGACTGACCTTGAGAGGAGAGTAGCCTTGTTTGTGGGGAGAGAGAGAGCATGGACTGGGAAAGATACAGCCTGTGATTTGGGTGCTGAGAGCTGAGAATCGCCTTGTTTGTGTGGTGATTGAGACCTGAGGGCGAACGCGCACTTTGTTTGTGGCTGACCTGGGAATCGACCTTGTTTGTGGGCTGTGAGGACTGGGAAGTCGCCTTTTGTTTGTGGGGACTGACTGGGAATCGCCATTGTTTGTGGGCTTGACTGGGGAATCGCCTTGTTTGTGGGCTGACCTGGGAATCGCCTTGTTTGTGGGCTGACTGGGAATCGCCTTGTTTGTGGGCTGACTGGAATCGCCTTGTTTGTGGGCTGACTGGGAATCGCCTTGTTTGTGGGCTGACCTGGGAATCGCCTTGTTTGTGGGCTGACTGGGAATCGCCTTGTTTGTGGGCTGACTGGGATCGCCTTGTTTGTGGCTGACTGGGAATCGCCTGTGTGATTGTGGGCTGGGAACTGGGAATCGCATTGTTTGTGGGGAAAACTTGACGCCTTGTTTTTGTGGCTGACTGGGATCGCCTTGTTTGTGGGCTGATCCTGGGAACCGCCTTGTTTGTGGGCTGACTGGGAATCGCCTGGGACTGCTGGGGAATCGCCTTGTTTGTGGGCTGACCTGGGAATCGCCTTGTTTGTGGGCTGACTGGGAATCGCCTTGTGATGATGTGGGCTGGACTGGGGAGGAAGTCGCCTTGTTTGTGGGCTGACTGGAATCGGCCTGGTTTGTTGATGGATGGACTGGCTGAGAGAATCGCCTTGTTTGTGTGGGCTGACTGGGAATCGCCTTGTTTGTGGGCTGACTTGGATCGCCGGCCTGGGTGACCTGGGGATGCTTGTTTGTGTGCTGACTGGGAAATTCTGGGGAATCGGCTTGTGTTGTGGGCTGACTGGGAATCGCCTTGTTTGTGGGCTGAACTGGGAATCGCCTTGTTTTGTGGGCTGACTGGGAATCGCCTTGTTTGTGGGCTGACCTGGGAATCGCCTTGTTTGTGGGCTGACCTGGGAATCGCCTTTGTTTTTGGGCTGTGGGAAATCGCCTTGTTTGTGGACTGACTGGGAATCGGCCTTGTTTGTGGGCTGACTGGAATCGCCTTGTTTGTGTGGGCTGACTGGGAATCGCCTTGTTGTGGGCTGACTGGGAATCGCCTTGTTTGTGGCTGACTGGAAATCGCCTTGTTTGTGGGCTGACCTGGAATCGCCTTGTTTGTGGGCTGGAACTGGGAATCGCCTTGTTTGTGGCTGAACTGGGGAATCGCCTCTTCTTGTTTGTGGGGATCTGAGACTGGGAATCGCCTTGTTTGTGGGCTGACGTGGAAATCGCCTTGACTTTGTGGGCTGACTGCGTGGGATCGCCTTGATTGTGGTGTACTAGGAATCGCCGTGTTTGGCTGACTGAGTGGAAATCGCCTTGTTTGTGGCTTACTGAGGATATATTCTTCCTGCACGAGACCTGTTTGTGGGTGACTGGGAGATCGCGACTTGTTTGTGGGCTGACCTGGAGGAATCGCCTTGTTTGTGGGCTACTGGGAAATTCGCCTGTTTGTGGGCTGACTGGAAATCGACGCTTGTTTGGTGGGCTGACTGGGGAGAAGTGCAGCTATGTTTGATAGGGCTGACGTGGGAAATCGCGCTTGTTTGTGGGCATGACTGGGAATCGCCTTTGTTTGTGGGGCTGACTGGGAAATCGCCTTGTTTGATGGGCTGGACTGGGACTCCGCCTTTGGTTTGTGGGAGCTGACCTGGGAAATCGAGCCTTGTGTAGGTGTGGGCTGACTGGGGAATCGCCGTGTGCTATGGGATGTGGGCGTGGCCTGCGGAATCGCCTTGTTGTGGTGGAGGCTGACGTGGGAATTCGCACTTGTTTGTGGGCTGCGACTGTGGGAATGCTTTACGGACTTGTTGTGGTGACCGTAGGAGCCTAGAGAGAGAAGATGCGCATATGGTTTGGATGAGGGGTGAGAGTAGAGGAATCTGGACGATATGTTTGTGGGCTGACCTTGGGGAATCGCTCTTGTTTGTGGGCTAGGATGGGAATCGCGCCTTGTTTGTGGGGCTGAACTGGAATCGCCTGTGGATTTTGTGGCATGATGGGGAAGTCGCCCTGTCCTGTGGGCTAGGACTGGGAATCGCGCTTGTATGATACTGCTGACTGTGGAATCGCCTGTGAGTTTAGTGGGCTGACCTGAGGAATCGCTGGTATTGGTAGGGTAGACGTGAATCGCCTTTGTCTTGGAGTGGAGGATGGAGCCTGGGGAAAGTGCGCGACTGGTGAGGTTAGGTGGGGGAGAGACTGGATACTAGGAGATCGTAGCTCTTGTTGTGGCTGTACTGGGGAATCGCCTGAGTGTATTTGTGGGCTGACTGGGAATGCCTTGTTTGTGGGCTTGACTGGGAATCGCCTTGTTCTGTGGGCTGACTGGAAATCGGCCGTGTTATGGGGCTGACCTGGAATCGCCATTGTTTGTGGTCGAGCTGATTGGACCTTTGTTTGTGGCTGACTAGGCTCCTCTCAGCGCTCTTTAAATGGGCTGTACTGCGGACTCCTCTCTTGTGCGTTGTTAGATCTGGACTGGGAATCGCCCTGTGTTTGTCGGGTGACTGGGATGCGCTCCGCTTGTTTGGTGGCTGGACTATGGAACACTCCCTGCCCTTTTATGATGGGGGCTGAACTGTGGAAGTGCGCTATATGACTTTTGTGGGCTGACCGTGGAGCGGGAAATCGGCATTGCTTTGTGGGCTGAACTGGGGAATACGCCTGTTGTCGGCTGACCTGGGAATCGCCTTGTTTGTGGAGCTGACGCTGGATCGCCTTGTTTGTGGCGTGACTGGGAATCGTGCGTTGTTTTGTGGGCTGACTGGGAATCGCCCTTCGTTGTGGGCTGACCTGGGAATCGCCTGATGTTTGTGGGCTGACTGGAAATCGCCTTGTTTGGTGGGCTGACCTGGGAATCGACCTTGGTTTGTGGGGCTGACAGGGAAATCGGCCT